GGGGAGGAGAGGGAGGGGAGATGCAGGGGGATAATATGTAGGCTCTATGTAGCTTTTGTTTTCCCTCAGCATTTTGTTGCCAGCTCGGTGTATCTTTCTCTGCTGGCACAAGGTTGTCTGTTCCAGCAGAGGAGGGGCCATGCTGATGCATAGGATATTGATATGTAATGGTTTTGTGATAATTGCCAGGTAAGGAACAGTGCGTGGATTGGTTCTGTGTGGGATTTATAGTACTAAGATGCACCCCTGTGGGGAAGCCAGGTCCTTTACAGGAACAATGAAGGTACAGAGGCATTGCTTATTATTTAGGACAGAAAGTTAGATTCTGAAGATTGCTGTGCACCTTTATAGATATCAAATGCAGAGACTGTGTTTGATTATATTGATAATTATTAATATTATAAGTGTTAACTGGATGATTTTGAAAGCAAAAAACTGCTGGTATTTGACTTGCATGTCTAAACTTAGTGACGTGCACCAAGTCACTACAAATGCAACTTAAATAAACTGCATAACACTCCTTGCATTAAGTACATACACTGTGCATAGAGCAGGCCAGGATTTATTTGTTGGTGTTTTTTTTTTTCTTTTTTTCTTTTTTTTTTTTTCTGCAGGCTCTGTGAGACTGCTTTATCAACATCTGTCTAGCTTTAATGGCCAACTGAAAGTGATTAATGACAACATCTGTTAGAGGCTCCTCACACACACCTTTTTATATAATGTGTTAATACCTTGTAATTCATGTCATATACAAGCTGTTTGCAAAACCAGGAAGAGGTGTCAGAAAGAAAAGATAAAAGACAACGAAGGAGACAACTCCCTTATTCCCATAAAAAAAAAAAAAACACAGAAACAACCTTTCAGGCTGTCATTGAACTTTATATAAATATATACTAATGGCATTTCAATGGTCAACTTTTTAAAGTGTCTTAATAATTCTTGAATATTCTGTTGTAAACACCAGGGTAATTAATAAGATAATTTCTGTTCAGAGTCTGATTGACCTTATCTTCCGGTTAGTGATATGTTGATCAACAAAGGTCAAGCAGCTCAGCGAAGCAGGAGATGCTGTTCTAGCTGTATCCTGATGAAGAAGATTTAAGAGTCTTTTTTGGCTTGTTTACCACGTGTTATATTTCAAAGGTCTTTTCTAAAAAATAAATGAATGAACTCTTAAATTCTAGCTTGACAGCATCTAGCATAAGCATGTGGGACTACTTTTCTGAACACTTTGTCTCATGACCTTCGTGTTGCTGAGTTTGCAATGCTCTGTGGTCATGTGGGGGAGAGATTCCTATATCCTCTGAGGGGTCTGTCCAAAGCCGAGTAATTGAATGCCTGAAATGCTTTCTGCAGCGTGACAGGACGCTCTGAAGCTTTAGTGTAACCTGATTTATTGAGAGTGTGTGCTATCACTGGTAGGCACACTTTGGCTATGTGGTTCTGTCTCTAGCAGCACAGGTGGTAAGCAGCAGTACAAGCAGGGTGAGTGATTTCTCTGGTGATTGGAAGCAGAGCAGCATTACACACTCTCAGGCTGGGAAATGCATTTTCTGAGTGCTTGCCTTTGGGCTGCTGGGATTTGCAGTGTGGTTATCCAATGGCAAAATGTGGTTGCCCTCATTTTTGCCCCATGGTTGTGTTTGTCAGGTATTGTTATCTAAAGGCATTTTTTCTGTGTTCTCATATTTTGGTTTTGGGTTATGAGGCAGCAATTCTCTTCTTGTCTGTAACTCAGTCTTGTTCTTAATGCAGAGCAAATGCAAAAGCACTCTTAGGTTATCAGCCAGCGTTTTGAATCAGAACTGAATTGGTCTAATAACGTATCTTAATTTCAAAAAATAGGATATTTCACAGTGTTATAAGCTATTTTTCTGGTTCAAAAATTGGTCCGTGTCTTCAGGAATGCTCTAACTTCTGGATCAGATCGTAGAGCATGCTTTGATATATATGTATGTATCAGTTTATCTTTATTATAGTAGCTACCTTGTACATTGCAGC